GTTTATTTCTGATTCAGGTTTTGATGGCTGGAAGCGTCAGCCTTCAGTTTGCATCAGCTTCAGGTCAAGAGGAAGGAAAAAACAGCAGCTCTCCATAAAGTCACAGACGGACAAACTGACAGACAGTCAGCTCCTGGTTTCTGGAGGAAATGTTGCAACATTGTCCAAAAAATTTGTGTCTTTCAGTCCAGAATGTGCAGCTCTTTGTGACTCTGTGGAAAACATCACCAAGCTCATCGTTTTCCCAAAACCTAACGCCACTCATTGCAACATGTTCGTGTAAAACAGGAAATAATTGTGCAGCATTTGGCTGGCTGTCAGATGAGTGACTGATGAAACAGTTAGCCAGAGCGCTGACCAACACAGCCGCCTCTGTTTTTGTGGTCACATGATAATAATAAAAAATCAGAGGTCACATATTTTACTCGCAGGATGAGTGTTTCTCTTTGTGCTTCTCTTCAGCGAATCCGTTTAACTCACTAAAGTTAGATTAGCTGCTTCTGACCAGATGAAGGCCTCAAACTCAGATAAGCTGCTTAAAACAGTCTCTAATGTGAGCTAATGTTCACTCCAACAAACCAACACACACACACCCACACACTCATACACACACACACACCCACACACACACACACACACACACACACACACATACACACACACACACTCTCTCTCTCTCTCAGAGGAAGTGGGTGACTGAAGGAAGAAAAATTAAACAGGGCAAGCCTTAATTTCATTAATACAACAACCTCGTCTTAATGGGCACAAGTGGAACAACACAGAGCACAGAAGAAAGCAGAACAACGGATGATGGATAAGCAATCCAGAGGATTAATTTAGCTAATCTCATTTAGTCAAGCAGACCTCCATCTCACCCTCATTTCTGATAAAAACCCTTTCAGTCTGCGTCTGAAACACTAAAGACTCACTTTGTAAAGGACAAGAGGCAATTCTTTCCTTTATGTAAAAAAAAAACAGAACCTGGAAGCAGAAACTGAGAAATGATACCAGAAAGTCAGAGAACTATCAGAAAATCTTGTTTTTGAGGGTAATGCTTCCAGTAGTTTTAAAATTATTTAAACATATTAAATAACAGCCTTCAGTGACCAGAAGCGCCAGCAAATAACACCTAAAAACGCTCATGACTTCATATTTTAACAGTTCAAACACTAAATTGGAGAATCCTGCAGAGGCGGACCGCTGCATCCTGGATGCACAACGGAGCGTTAACGCAGATCCTTCCAGACTTTATAACCATCACTTCTTCCAACAGACTTAGAAACTGTTTACACTCCTGCTGGCATCTGCACAGCTTTTTTAAACATTTCTGTCCAAATCTGCACATCTCCTTTTATTGTCACCTATTGTAAATATTTTGTTCACTTTTTATGCACAAATACACATGTACGTTTTGAAACTCTTTCACAAATCTGTTCACGCCTGCAGCTGACGGTGCATCCTTGGTTCCCGGTTCGGCTCTCAACAAAGCAGCAAAGTTTGAAGGAATCCAAACCGAATAAAAGTTCAAACAGCAGGAGGTTCAATAAGAAGCTTCAGTTTTTCAACTTCTACTCTGGCTTTATGTCCATGTTGTATAGATGTAGAGGATAGTCCTGTCAAAATAAACAATAAATCAATTAACATATATATATATATATGTGGTATAATAAAATAAAACAAGCTAATAATTTTTATTTAAATAATTTATTGTTTTTCTCCTTCTACCAAAAACTGGATGATAAAACTCTCAACTGGCCTTTTCTTTGAAAGACTATTTTGTTTACAGACTTTATAATTCACTTTATTTACATTTCTGTTGTTTATATATTTTGTCTAAAATGTCTTCCAGTTCCAGTGTTAAAGGTCCATTAGAATACAAAGTTTACTGAGAATATGTGACCATAATATCACTTGAAATGGTCTCAAAACAACAATGTTAATGTTTATTGCAATAACTTCTGGGACAATTTATTGTCCAGTAAAATTTGTAATTGTGCTAGGTCTTGTTGCAGCTTTAGTTTATTTCCATGTAGCTTTGATAAAAACATTTGAACCGATTTATTAAAGATGTTTACATTTCAGATCCAGTTGAGTCGAGACAGAACCAGTATTGCTCAGTTTGTGGGTATTGGTGGAAACAGAAGTGGAGCTCAGGAATCACCAGAACATTTTACTGGTTCATCTCATAAAGAAGAAATGTACTGTGTTTTCCAGACTATAGAGCGCACCTCACTATAAGCCGCACCTACAAAGTTTTCTTAAAACACTGGACATACATGTAAAAGCCAGTATCTCCGAAAAAAGGTAGCGGATTATAGTCTGAAAAATTAAAAACATTTTTAAACTAAATCTCAACATGTTATGAATAAAAATAATTAGGGAATAAAAATCTGCTGAAACCAAGATGGCTGCTTTGAGCTCCACGACAGAGAGAGCTTGTTTGGGATTACAAAGTAAAAAACTGCTCCATGTTTATTGTAGTTTTGTTCTTTATGAATAAACTCTGCTCAGTAATTGAATTAGTCGCCTGGCAGCAATAGTGAGGTCATCGCCGTCGGTTATGAAACAAACAGAAGGTCTATCAAACATCATCCAATTGGAGAAAACTGGATCATTTTCAAATTTTCTTCAACTGAAGCTTTAAAAGACGTCTTCATATTTCTACTGGCATCCAGCAGATATTCAGCTTTCCTCTTCATTTTGTTTTATTTTTATCTTCCTAATTGAAACTCTACCAGGTACCTCGCTGAGTGGTTATGCTTTTATTGCGTGGGACTTTAATAGCGCTCTAATGGAGTATTGACTGGGAAAAAAAAGAAGTCATCTGGAAGACAATAAAGAATATTTTATTTTATTGTATCGCAAATTAAGACCAGAGTATTTAAACATATGGATTACTTTCATTTTGGCTCCCTAATGACAAGATTTAAATGGGAATAAAATGAAATCAGTGAGACTGAAAGTAAACCTTCAATATAATCACAGAAACTGTCATGTTTAATAAATCAGAATATGCTTTCTGATTGAAAGTTAAAGAACCTAAAAGCAGGTATTAAGAGTCTTCATTTATTAAAATGTTTTTCTGAAATAGGAGCATCATATTTTGGCTGCATTCCCACCAGGCCCGTTTAATCCGACTCCAGTCTGTTTGTTTCTGAAGTCCGGTTCGGACCAAGCGAACTCTGGTCCTCCAAACCTCGATCTGGGTTTGGCTGAAGTGACTCTGGGTCCGTTTGAATGTGAACGTCAAGTGGACCAGAGAGCTCTTCAAAAACAGGAAGTGGACTACAGCGCAGGCATTCTGGGTAAAGCAACATGCTAGCCTAGCGCTAGCAGCAGAAATGGCTCCTGGTCTTTAGCCAAAGACTAAAGAGAAATCCTCCAACAGGAGAACGCCTCCATCTTGTTTCCATTTGATAAAAAGGAAGTTATGCTCAGTGTCTCCAGAGGTTTTAGTGTCGTTTCCTTCAGTGGTTCTTGGTGCAGCGTCCCCACAGGCCAGGAGGGGAACCGGTGGCTCAAAGGGTTTGGCTGGTTAGACTCAGCGCATTGTGAAAGTTGATAGCATCTCAGCAGACCCAACGCATGCTGGACATAAGCTGTTTCAACCTTCAGGTTAGCGCTACAGAAGCAAGTTTCCCCCCAGACTGTCGCTCTGATTGACACTAATCTGGAGATACTCAGAGCCCAGATCGATATAACACATGTTTGTACTGATTCAACCTCGTCTTCTTTTTTTAAAGAAGAAAAAACACTGTAAAAATGTATGGCAACTAACCAACAAATGGCAGCTGAATGAGGAGTTTATCTGCATTTATTTTGCCTTCAGTTCATGTTGGAAAAACAAACCCAACAAATAACTGGAAGCTGCTGTGGCAGGAACATTAATTATTCATCTGAACTCTTCTGGTTTCTGAGTGATTATACGCCCATTTTTATTTATTTTTCTCTAATCTAATCCTACATCCTTAGTTACTGGTGTTGCTAGAAGTTTGATGGTATCTATGCCTGAAGGAGACATCGACCTTTTAACCTCTGGTTCGTAATCCTGATTGAGTGCAGCTGCTAGTTTCTGTTTCTGGATGATATTCCAATGTTCCCAAAAACTTCCAAACAGAAGCAGCAAGTTTCTGGAATGGCATTCCTAAAGCTCTGACCTCAACCCTTTTAAAAAGTAATGGATTTTTAACCAGGCTCTTTTGCAGGAAACCATTTAATTTGTAAACTCCAACTTAGCCAAGAAAAAAAAAAGGTCAAGCGTTTCTGAGAATTAAGGCAGACATGTTTTGAACTCAGTGATTTAAGTATTGCTGCACCTGACTGTGGAGAAAAGGAGAGACTGAGATAAATCATTTATAAATAAACAAAACTTTTGACAGCAGAATATCTAATGTCTTGATTTAACCAAATTCTCGTCCCATTGAAGAGTCAAACCAGATCAGAAACAGATTATTCTTCACAGAAAGTAATCTGGAATAGTTAGAAAGCTACACAAGTATAAATAATTAATCACAAATTCTGCAATAGTGCATTATTTCATTCAATATTAATAAAAACAAGCGCCTGCAGATGATGGACGATGTGAGACTGGAGGAGGAGGAACTCCTCCCTGAAGCTGACAGAGTCCTGTTTCCTCCTGACTACAGGTGACAGCAGAAACTCGACTGACCCTGAGAAAAATCCAACGTCTCCATGACTGCTTTCATTTTTCCAGGCCAGACTGCCACTCCTACCTCGATCCACATGGGGATTTCATAAAGCAGACACACACACTTTGGGTCAAATTTAAATCAATGTACCTTCTGGGTTCTGCAGTCCAGATTAAGGCGTCCAGAACTCGTTTGAGTGTTTCCCAGACCAACTCAGAGACATTTGAGCTTTGCGTACCTGCGGCTGTGTTACGTAAGAGACGGTTAAGCCTCCAGCTGAGCTTCGTCCTGACACACAAACACACACTGACACCCAGACACACGCAGCGGCCTGCGAAGCCTTTGTTTTACCTCTGCAGGTGTTTCCCCGTCTTCCCGTCTTTATCCCTCTGTTTTATCCCTTCGGTTTCTCCTCCTCACATTCCTGTCTCCATCTCCGCTTCTCCTTTATCTCAGCATCTTTTCACTTCAGTCTCCTGGCTCGTTCCCTTTCTCCACTCTTTTCTTCTTGCTTTGAATCTGCAGTGGATCATAAAACACACCCTTCAGAGCTCCGTCTCCAAACCCCCCCGTTGCTCTGCTCCCAGCTCTGATTGGCTCATCCGCACCGATGACATCAGCCTCCTCCATCGCAGCCTCCCTCTCCTCTCCATCTATTCCCTCGGTACTTCGCGCCCCTCCTTTCTTCTTTACATCCATCTCTCTTGGTCCCATATCCTGCTTTTCATTTTTACTGGTGGTGAACTGGTTAGATTGTTAGAACACCACTGGGGAAAACAAAAAACACGCTCTCTGTTTGTTCCTTCAAAACGCTGCTGCATCACGTCTCTGTATGTAGGGATAAATTATTTCAGTAATCAGTAGATTCAGATTTACCTTTAAGTATCAACTGATTTTATAACAAAATTTAAAGTTTTATTGTCACAGTAAAAATTGTTATTATTATCTACAAACTATAATATTATTGTTTTGAAACCATTTTCAAATAATATAATGTAATGGCATAATGACAATGCAAGAACACATTCTCAGAGATCAATAAACTTTAATTTCTGATAAATATTTAACACTGGAACTGGAAAACATTTTAAATATCTTCAATAAATAAACAAAACTACAGAAACAACAAATAAAATGAATTATGAAGTAAACAAAATATTCCTTTCCAGAAGGACTGGTTGACTTTTATCATCCATATTTTGATAGAAAGAAAAATGATAAATCATGCAAATGGAAATTATTGAGCTCGTTTTAATTCATCAGGCAATCATTTGATTTATTGTGAAAGGCCTAGCATTATATTTAAATTAAAAACCATTCATGAAAGATGCTTTTTACATTTTCCAACTCTAGGCACTTTAACTAGTAATTTCACATTCATTTTTAAAATAAATGGAGTAAATTGTATTTTTTGTGATATGGATTTTTTGTATCAATTATAATGTTATTTTTTGCATATACTTTCACTAGTTTTACTATATGGAAATATAAAACTGTAAATTTTTTGCTGTTTGTTTTATTACATCTTCAGCCATATTTAATGTTTAAACTGTTCTGGGACAGTGAGATTCTGAAGAGATTTTCACACAATCACTAATCAGGTTTTCAGATTTATTTATTTTTTATTGATTTATGATTTTATTATTTGACTACCAAATGTTTTGCTTAAGACTAATCCTGTAAAATCTTTGGAAATGTTTTGATAATTTAATCCAGTTTAATTTCTGAATGTTAATAAATTAAATAAAGTTATTTTGTCTTCTGTCATCAGCTTGTTTCTCACTGCTGCATTTTTGTTGAACCACTAAACTTTAATCTGTTCCCACTATTACTCTGACACATTTTCTACATCCAGTCTTTTAATTTGAAGGCAAATTAAAAGACTTAGGTGACCACTAGAAGGCGCTGCCACTCGCAGTTTTAACACGATGACTGCAGATAGTTGAATTTCTTTGTTTTAGTGGTGCTGTGGGCTTCGTTCACCCTTTCTCCCATAGAAAAGATGAGTATCGCCATACATCCATCGGCCGGTACTTAATGAAGTCCATCTTCCAGTCAGTCACCAATTCTTCATAAATCTAACAGAGGAACCATGGTTTATCTGGCAGCAACTGCGTTTGCACCAATAAGAAAATCCAGACATTTTCTTTGTATGTTTTGATATTTAGTATTTTAGGAATTGTTTTTCTTTTTTTAAAGGGATTATAGCAAAGTCCTGTAATGCCTCTCAACCTATGAGAGGGAATAGACAATGGATGGGTAATTGCTTGTGTGCATTTATAAATTAAAAACCACAGCATCACAGTCATGAAATAAATTAGTCTCATATCCAGTTTGTGCTGTTGGTTGTTCAAGAATTTTTGAAATTTGAGAAGAGGATTACCTAAGATATAAAACAACAGATATATGGTGTATTTAAATTATTTTATTTCATATTTTCAGGGTTATTGTCATAATAACAAGTCATAAATGTTTTAAACCTGCTGTGGTGAGAGGAACCATATTGTTTGTTTGTTTCATTTCCTGTTTTTATTGCTGCTGTTTTTCCAGTCATTTTGGCAGCCATTTTCATTCTGGCAGCTTTTTGAAGCCGGGTGCAATATGGCGACCCATTTGTGCCCTTTTTGTCAAACATGTTGGGAGCCCTATGATAATCGTTGTGAATGCCCCCCGGTTGGATGTGGCTCGTTTGATAAAGGATGTGGCAACCCCATGTGGTGCCGCTGATCTCACTCTGCTAGAGCATATGTCGGGCTGGAACCGTGTGTCTGAGGAAAAACACTAGGAAACGTTTCTGCAGCAGTAACCAAAAGCAGACAGGAGCGTTTACAGGATAACCCAACATGGTGGGAGGAAAACTATATGAGGCAGTAAAGTCCATCTGGGATTATATCCACAGCAGCAGTAAAAGAGCACTAAAAACAAAAAATCATTTCTTTGTTGTTTAAAAACTATTTCTTTTTAAAGTGGAGCTATTTTACATCAAATATTTGGGGAATCAAACAAATTTACACAAAAATAGAATTTGCAAATAAACTTAAAAACAGCACACTTAGCAACGAGTTTAGATGGTTTATTTGCAAAAAAAGAGGTTTAGTTAGTCTTTAAATGGTGCTGGATTTTTAAGGAAATTGGTAGAAATGTGGTTGAGCCCATTAAAAACACAAAGCGATAAGATTCTGCATCAATTCCAAGTTACAGAGCACTCAAACGCCAACCAAGAAACACATTTTACACATTCAGAAAAAGATTTATGGCACACACTGAACACCATACATGTCAAACAAAATGGGAAATATCACTAAACTTCCATGGGAACAACAAAGACAGGTCTGTATTAACTATCACAATCCAATCAACCACAAATTCTGCAAAAAAACTAATTAATAATGTGATATCTCTACATGTTTAAAGTATAAATAAAATTATAAAATTTACTTATTTTGCCATTTGCTCAAGTGGCTTTTTCAGGACGAAAAAACAGTTTTATAGCCATTAATTTAGTTATTATCTGAAGTGTTAAAATAAACTTATGCTAACGACTATGATGTTTCTAATTAAAATAATAAAGCCATAATATTGTAAAGTCATGCTATTAGTACAATAAAGAGTCGTTTTAATGAGAGCAATGCTTAAATAAATAAGCGCTGACGTGACCAGACCTGTAAAAATTACTAATAACTACTTCATTCTCCTAATTTACAACCTTATTCTGGTGATCTTATCATTGAGTTCTCATGTTTTATCCTGTCCTTTCTATTATCAATAGTAAGAAACATTAGCCTGATGCTAACACACGCCGCCATTAAAACGATGCCATCGTATTTTATTAACTCACCGTCTCCTGCCGTTAACTTTGAGCTCCTCCGTCATGACGGCGTGTCTTGAACAGTAAAAAACGACTTTCTTTGCATTCCGGTGTCTTACCAACCTGATATCTGTCCATTATTACCTGCAGCTAGGCTAACAAATGGAGGGGTAAGCTAGCACAGCTAGCGAGTGGCTAACCAACGGACGTTTAATGGCGGATCATTTTGCGCCGGCCGAACATCGTCGGCAAACGTTCAGCGCTGGCCGTGGCGTTGCAGTCTGTTTTGATGAGTTTATACAGTTTTCATATTTTAAATCCTCTTCTTTGCTACCTGATGGAATATTAAACGTCCTTTCTGTCTTTATCGCTGGGTTGTTCAGTCAGGTTCAGGAGAATTGCTGGTGTTGGACCATCTGTAACGTTTAAACTGCTGCCATTATGGCTTTTCAAGAGAAGAAAGCAGGTTATTGCCATATCTTCTGCTTTGCAAATCGAGTTTGTTTCGAAGCAGCTTTCTGCTCCATTATCTCCTCCAGATCAAGTGGGTGGTTTTTCTCCTCCATGCATTTCCTCCATCCTTCTTCACTAAAGCTTTAATTGAGTTAACCTCAGTGTGTGCAGGAGAGGATGGTCAAAACGCAACAATCAATACAATAGATGCTGATCATGGTTTGTGTCCCTGTCTCATGTCCTGCCTTTGTCTAGGACATGTCATCAATACACTGAGACGTCTGGAGGGATGCTGCTTACTAGAAACGTGACTCATTCTTCTAGACTGGAACACAAAATATGCAGAAACACGCACACACACGCACACGCACACACACACACACACACACACACACACACACACACACACACACACACACACACACACACACACACACACACACACTCACTCACTCTGATAACTTGTCATCAATGACAACCTGTCATAAATCCGCCTCTTCAATGTCAAATTATAAGGACAGCAAAGAAGAAACGGAGGATAAATATTTTAACAAAAATGTCTTGCATGTTTTTTATTTTTGGTTCACAATAAATTTGGTTTTGGTGATTTTAGGTTTCTATGTTGGGCTTATAAAATTTCGTCTCACGCATTCTTTTTTTTTTTAATTATCCCACTATTAAACCTTAGATATAAACCACTGCAGTTTACCAGGGATCCTCAAAGCCCCAAACAGCATTGGCTTCTGGCAGCGACAAAATAAGTAAAGAATTATACTTTGGAATGTGTTTTATTTGATATTCCTTATTTATTTCCTTCATTTGGTATAAATACTGTGTCATACATACTGATTTTAGATGGCCATAAGATCTGTTGCATAAAACTTTATTATCAGAAGACATTTTATGATTTAATAACCGAATTATGAATATGTAATATTTTATATCAATCACATCAAAGTTGATAATATCACCCCAGTTTATGTGTTTTTGCAGCAGAGCTCAATTCTTTTGGTATTTTTCCTGTCAGAAACGTTTCCATTTGCTTTCAGGAGCAAAACAACTTGATGAATTTCAGCCAATCAGAAACATTTAAATACATTATTTAACTTATATATGTTTGAATTGAAAAACATAAAGCAAAAATTAAGAATAAAAAGAATAAAATTTTTTTACATTTTTGAATATTTTTCTCATTGTCTCTCTAACTTTGAGGCCCCTCTGGTGCCCCTTGGTGGTTCTCCAGGGGATTGCAGCCCCAACATTGACGTAAACTATAATTATTTAATTAAATTAAATTCTCATTTTCCTCTGCAGCC